TAACAGTTTTACAAATGATTGGTTACGGAGATAACACCCGAACACAACAGGAAGTAACTCGCCTATTTCATGAGAAATTTCCTAATTTACCGCCTATATCCCAAGAAACAATAAAAAAAATAGAGAAGCAGTTTCGCGAGTTTGGTCATGTAAGGCAGATAAAAAAAGCAGCTGCCAATGCACTGAGTGATGAACTCAAATTAGATGTGTTGCTTGAGTTTCAGGAAAATCCACATACATCGAGTAGACAGGCATCCACTACATTCAGTGCTAGCCATACATCGATAGTAAACATATTAAAAGAAAATAAATTGCATTCCTATAAGATGATACCTACTCAGGAGCTCATAAAAGACGATGTTGATAAGAGAACTTTTTTTTGTGAGCAAATGATGGACATGTTGGATACCAATACCATCCAATTAGAAGACGTTACATGTTTTCTGATGAGAGTACTTTTTCACTTCACGGTCATGCTAATCGGCAAAATTGCCACTACTGGGCCACGGAAAATCCTCACTGGATGAGAGAAGAACACACTCAATACCCTCAAAAGGTTAATGTTTGGGCAGGGATTGTAAGAAACAATATCATTGGTCCCTTTTTCATTGAGGGCAACGTGAATAGGAACAATTATTTGGCACTACTTCAAAATGATGTCATTCCAACGTTGGCAAATTTATATCCTGATCCAGGAAATCCTCAAGTTCCAGCGAATACGATATGGTTTCAGCAGGATGGAGCACCATCACATAACTTAATGTCCGGCAGTACCTCGATATAATATTTCCTATTTTATGGGGCTATTGTTAGATTCCTTTTTATGGGGATATGTGAAGAGCCATGTGTACAAAACTAAACCTTCTGATTTAAATGACTTGAAAGAAAGAATAACGCTTGCGATTAGGTCGATCACGCCTGTTATGTTAAATAATGTTAGAAGACAGTTTTATTTGAGATTAGGATGTTGCCAAGACGTTCGCGGTGAACATTTTGAACATCTACTTCATTAACATTCATAGTTCTTTTTCGTGTTCTACATTTTATTACGTTTTGCATTACATTTTAGTTTTTAATTGTATTGTAGCGAATTTCGGTAACCACATGATTTTAATTTATTTTATCTTAATTAATCTTAATAAACTTATAACCGACAACATTTTTGAATGGAGAATGAAAAGACCTTTCAAACGATATATCACAAGCCTATACTTCCTATTTTAAAAATTGGGGGTTGTACCTGTCATTCTAAGGGGGTTGAAGGTAGGGGTTGCATTTTCACGTTAAAGAATGTCAAGTTATAATTTTAATTTAACGTATTTTGGGATTTTTTATAAATATGTACAGTAACCTAAATAATGAATTTATTCCATTTGGCTTTTACACACTGTATAATGCAATATGTTATGTTCTAGTGAGTTTTCTAGAATCTGGATATGTGCTTGGATTTGATGTGTAGTTTCCAGCAGTAAATCCGCATTGATATTGACCAACAATATCCTTTGTAAAATATTTAAGTCTTTTAAACAATACATTGCTGAAGATTTTATACGCAGATGCTAACAGAGTAATGCCTCTATAGTTCTTACAGTCCAGTTGATCACCCTTTTTATGCAATGGACATATTATTCCCTTTAGCCACTATTCTGGTACCCATCCATTGTACCATTAGCTTATGGATTGTTGCAAAAAGTTGATCACTACCTTTTTATAAATTTCCTAACAGATTTAATCGATTCCTGGAGCTTTTTTGTCTTTGAGTTTTAGGATCGCATTTGACACTTCTTCTCTTGTTGGGTGTTTACTGTGTAGTTGACGTTGTAGATTTTGTTGATTTTCTATGTTGCAACCTCCTTCAATATCGTTTATAATTAGATGTTCGCTAAAATGTTGTCCCCATCTGTTAAGAACTGAGTTTTTGTCATGTAGAATTTCATTTTTAGTGTCTTTACAATTTTTTATCGTGGTTTAAATTCTCGACGGCTATTATATAAGGATTTGTAGTATTTTCTTTTTTAATTTTTATTGAATAAACTTTGTATCTCATTAAGAGTGTTGTGTTCGTATTCCCTCTTCTTATGTCGATGGATACGTTTTTCCTTTCTTTTAAGACGTCTGTACTCTTCTTTTTTTCTCGGTGTACAACCTGCGTCGATGGTTTTTTGATATGCTGCGTTCTTTCTATTTATGGCCATTTCGCACTCATCATGAAACCAATGATTTCTTTTTTCTGACTTGGTTTTGACCGATATTTCAACCGATTTCTGTAACACAATATCTCGTATATTTACCCATAGTTGGTTAATCTCTTCTTCTTCTTCTAAGTTTTTTGTCCTTATTTGATCTTCTATTTGCTGTCTGTATACATTTTTTCCCCTCCTTCTCCCGATCTCCTTTTTTAAGTTGGATATTCTCTCTTTAAATCGTACTTTAACAAATAGTGATCACTATTTATGTTTGCTCCTCTAAAAGACCTAACATTTAATAAGTTAGAGAAGTGTCTTGCATCGATGATTATATGATCTTTTTGGTTAATCCGTTCATTATCAGGAGATTTCCAAGTTCCGTTATGTAAATCTTTATGGGGAAATCGTGTCCCAGCTATTACCATGTTCTTAGACATCGCAAAGTTTATGATTCTGAGGCCGTTATCATTCATCTACAACTTTAATATCCATCCATCCAATGGCACTACAGTCCAAGCCGGGCCTTGGCCTCCTTCATTAAACCTCTCCAAACATCTCTATTTACTGCTGTTCTTTTCCATGAACGCGTTTTTAGGAGATTTTTGGCATCCTCATCTACCTCGTCTTCCCATCTCTTTTTTGGTCTTCCAGGTCTTTTTCCTTGCATTCTTGCGTTTAGTAATTTTCTGGGGATTCTGTTCTCATGCATGCGGGCCACATGCCCTGCCCATCGTAATCTCTGCAGTCTAGTGTATTGTGCTAGTGTTGGTTCGGTGTATTGTTCGTATATTTCGTTATTATATCTAATTCGCCAGTTGTTATTTCCTTTATTGACCCAGTATTCTACGCAATATTTTTCTTTCGAACACGTCTAATGCATTGGTAGATTTCTGTGTTATAACCATGTTTCACACCCATAACTTACTATTGGTCGGATTATTGTTTTATATACCCGGAGTTTTGTTTTCCGGTGTACGTCTCGCGATTTGAATATGTGGCCCATCGCGAAATAGGCTTTGTTTGCCAGCATAAGCCTTCTATTTATTTCCGGTTCTTCTTCATTATTTTCGACCAGATCCATTCCTAAATACGTGAATCTATTCACGTATTCTATATCGTCTATAAATTGTTGTTGTTGCGCCTGTCTATTTGATCTGGTTTGTATGAGTAGTTTTGTTTTATTTGTATTTATTGTTAGCCCTACAACTTCTGAACTCTGTTTCAACTGAACGTAGGTTTCTTCTGCCGCAGTCATTGTTCTGCTCATTATGTTTATGTCATCTGCGTATGCTGCTAATTGGGTAGATTTGTTTGTAAGTATGTTATTTCTGCTCACCGTCAACCGTCTAATTACGTATTCAAGAACAAGATTAAAAAGTGTTGGAGCCAGTCCGTCACCTTGTTTCAGTCCTTGCGTTGTCATAAACGCATCAGTGATCTGTCCTTGAATAAATACATGTGCTTCTGTTTCTGTCATTGTCATTTCACTAGTCTTATTTAATTTGATGGTATGCCAAATTCTTGTAATATATTAGGTAGTATTGTTCTATCTATTGAATCATAGGCTTGCTTGAAATCTACAAAGAGATTGTAGACGTCTATGTCATATTCCATGCTTTGGCTAGTATTTGTTTAACTGTAAATAGTTGGTCAATAGTAGATCTATTTTGCCTGAACCCTGCTTGATATTCCCGATAATTTTTTCAGTGAGGGGTTGAAGTCTTCGATTAAGAATGTTTGTGAGTATTTTGTATCCCGAACAAAGTAAAGAGATGCCTCTATAATTCTGGCATAACAGTTTGTCTCCTTTTTTATGAATAGGGCAGATTATACTTTTCTTCCATTGTTGTGGGATTTTTTTCTTCTCTCCATATTTCTTGTATAAGCTGGTACATCTGTTCTGTCAAATTTGTTCCTCCCTGCTTGAACAGTTCTGCCGGTATCTTATCTATTCCCGGCGCTTTATGGCTTTTTTGCATTTGGATTGCTGTTCGAACCTCCTCTAGCGTTGGAGGTCTAGCCAATTCATTATCTTCTCCATCTTCCCACAGCTCCTGTTGTTGACCTTCCTGTTCTACCTGCTGCTGCCGCTGTTGTAGTGGTGTTTGTGCCCTTTCGTTTAATAATTCCATAAAATACATCATCCAGGTTCTCTTAATTTCGTCCATATCGCTAATTATTTCCCCATTCTTATTTTTGCATAGGCTAGTCTTCGGTTTGTAACCCTGTCTTAAATGTTTGATAAGTTGGTATGCACTGCGTGTTTCGTTTTCGTTTTCACAACTTAATACAGGGTGTTAATATCAGCCGGCTTACTATGAGTTTTGTATTTGGAATGCTATCTCCCGAACTATTAATTTTAATGATAAGTGCTTGTCGGAATTTTCTTTTATTGCATTGGAAAAATTCTTGTAAATAATTGAAATATTAATGAAAATCTTGTAACAGTACACTATCATATCCCTACGCTTAAAATGATATGCATAAAAGAATAAACTTATAAACATTTCACTTTGCCACTATTTGGATTAAAAAAAAACCGCAATGTGCAAAATAATTGATGAGAAAAAAGCTTAATATATTTAATTAAAGATCTCGTTTAAGATTATAATATAATTATTAATGTCCCGTCTACAAAGGAGTCGAACACAATGCGACATTTCCAAACTATAACTTCCAAACGAAATTAATTCACTTCAATCGACTACTACTATTGACTGGACCAGTTCACCCCTAACCCGTCCGATTGTCTACGTCATTGTGTACCGATAGCGAAGCTCACAGCGGTATAGTCAGTAATCTATCATTAATTACCTCGAAACTAGCGTCTGTGTTCCACAATCTCTCAATTCAAACACGGTTGTAAATACGCTCGGTTTCCGTAATCCATTTTCTCGCATGTCTTCCGCTGTCAGAGTGCCGCTTTCCACTCGATTCAGGGGAGCGTAACGCTCGAGAGACTTCCCTGGACGTTCTAGGATTCGCTCTAAGTGGCTCTGAAACAACATAAGAATTTCAGTCAGGGATCAGGTAAATTGGAGTTAGTGTTTTAAGTTTCTACTAATTACTAAGAAAAAAATTCAAAAAGAAATACAAGAAATTTTAGTTTTTTAATTACTAAATTAATTGCTTGAGTGTTTTTTACAGTGGGTAATCTAATTATTACAAACATATTATTGTATATATTGATATGATTAGAAATCTATAATATAAAAATGAATCGCAAAATGTGTTGGTAAGAGCATAACTCAACAACGCATGGACCAATCTTAACAATTCTTTTTTAAAACGTTCCTTGAAGTCTAAGTATGGTTTTGCGGCATGAAAAATTCGAATACTTACTTACTTAATCAGTAGACCCATTTGTACCTTTCGGTGTTGGGCCGTTTATAATACAATTCTTTATATTACAATATTTAACAATCTTCTGAGGTGTCCTAGCTCTTAACGAACTTTCTTCATTCCTTCCTATTGTTTGCCATCTGTGTTGCTTCCTGCCAAGTCTTACCCTTACTCTGCAGTATCTGCGAGATGTCACTGTTCCATTCTTTAATGGGTCTTCCTCTTCTGTTCTTCTCTATTGGTTTGGCGTCCCACACTCTTTTTACTTGTCTATTATTGTCCATCCGGTTAGATGTCCGAACCATGCCAATTTTTTCTCCTTGACTGATTCGAGAATCGGTTTGATTTTTAGTCTTTCTTTTATTTCTTCATTTCTGATTCTATCAGTTCTTTTTACTCCCATCGTTCTTCTGAGGTATTTTATTTCTGCTGCCTGAATTCTGCTTTGATGCCTTTTGTTTAGTATCCAATTTTCTGCTCCATATATCACTGTAGGTCTATATATTGTTTTGTTATATTGTCATCTTGGTCTTTGTTGATATTTCTTTGTTATTAAGGAATCCTCTAGTTAGTGCTTGGAATAGTTTTCCTGTGTTTTCCATTCTGTTGTTAAGATCGTCCTCGATGTCTCCTTTGTTGTTGATTACTGTTCCTAAGTATTTGTATGAATTTGTCTGTATTATTTTTTGTTGGTCTATCATTAGTTGATCTTCCGTCCCTTGTTTCCTTGATATTTTCATTATCTGAGTCTTCTCTTTGTTTACGTTTAAGTTGTATTTGCTTGCTTCTAGGTTCCATTTCTCTAAGTTGTATTTCAGTTTTTCTGCTGTTTCCGCAATTAATGCTATGTCGTCTGCAAATATACACATCTCAGCGTTTATCATTTGCATTTTGTTCCAACCGATGCAGTATTTCTTGAAAGTTTTCTTACATTCTTTCACTATCTCCTGTATTACATTTATGAATAGCACTGGGCTGAGACTTCCTCCTTGTCTAACTCCTTGAGTTGTTTCAATGGTTCTGACTGCATATTTGACATTCTTACTGTGTTTGTTGTTTTCATGTATATAGGTACTCTTTGTTGCTTCTAGCAGTTCTTCACTTACTTGCTTTTTCTTAAGGCTTTCCCATATATCTTTTCTTTTGACTGAGTCGAATGCTTTTTCCATGTCTATAAAGCTCAGATATATTTATCTATTTTTCTTTAAGGCTTTTTCTATTACTTGTTGCATGGTAAATATATGGTCTTGTGTATTGCGTCCTTTCCTAAATCCACTTTGTACGTCCTCTAATTTATGTTCTATTTCTTTTCTGATTTTTCTTTCTATTATGGTTTGTATACTTTTGCTGCTACACATAGTAGTGATATACCTCTATAGTTCTTACAGTCTCTTGTGTTTCCTTTCTTGTATATAGGTACAATTACTGCATTTGTCCATTCTCTGGGTATTACTTTTCTCTTCCATATTTAGTTATATATGTATAACAATTTTTCTTTTGCTTTTACTCCTATATATTTCATCATTTCTGGTGCTACTTCATCGCTTCCTGGTGCTTTTCCAATCTTTATCTTTCTTATTGCTTCTTCCAGTTCCTCTTTTTCTATAGTTTTTGGATTTTCCATGTTTCTCATGGATACTCTCTTGATGTGGCTTTCCTTCTTTATTGTATTCGCTTGATTTCCATTCTTTTCCCACTCTACTGTTCATGTCTCCTGTGATCACAATTTTCTCTGTACAATCATTTATCACTTCTTGTAATTTGTCCCAGAACTCATTCTTTTCGTTTTTTGGAACAGCCCTTTTCTTTTTCCCATACAAGAGAAATATCAAACAACCGCGTCTTTGCAACGGCACACGGTTAGCGATAAAAAATTATTAAACAACGTGATAGAAGCAACTATACTGATACAGTATACAGCAACTATACTATACAGTTTCCAGTGCGGCTTGCTTTTGCTATGACCATAAATAGGTCCCAGGGCAATCATTAGATGTTTGTGGTATTAATCTAGAAGACTCATGTTTCACACATGGTCAATTGTATGTTGCCTGTTCCCGTCTTGGAAAACCATCAGATTTGTTTGTATGTTCACCAGGCAATCAAACAAAAAACATTGTATATCATAAAGTACTACAATAAAAATAAAACAGATTTTTTTTTAATAATTATGATTCACTTGCTTTACAATAAAGAGATTACTGAAAATACTTATATACGTTTTATTTTATTATTCATTATTACATCGGATATTAACCCTATGTTAATAATATTAATAAATAATTAAGTATATCTATGTTTTGTCACTGAAGCACCAACTTTATAAATATTTGTCACCTTTAGGTTTTCACTATGCCTTTAGATTATTTTTCAATCCGGTTTGAACCTTAAGTTCCCCTCTTAGTTTGAAGCCCACTGGCAGACATCCCAGTCGGGGTTTCTAGTGGGTCTAAAAGGGTGGCCAAAGTTCGTCGAGGCGAAGATACTTAGGTCACCCGAGTTGACCCCCACACACCGCCCTATCATCATGGTGACGGTTCTGTTCAGGAGAATTAAAGAAATAAACTGCCACATTCAAAACATATTTGACAGAACGAAGTCTGTCGGGTCCGCTAGTTGTATATAGACAAAAATATATAGAGAAAAAGAAGAAAAAGACAAACAATTTGTAAAATTATGTTATAGTTTTATTCTGCATACACGATTTTAATTTTATACTGTTGGTGAAGTGTTAAAATAGCGACTTTGTCAATTTTAGATTTATGTTTGAACTAAGATTTTCTAAATTATGGAAATCAATAGATTTAAGAATAGTTTATAAATAATAGGTTACATTGAAATATGATATCTACCTGCCGTTTTCAGGCATTCATTTCTGTTATCTCAAAAGCAATCCTTAACTGTGTAGGAGAAAGTAAAAAGTTATTGTCTTGATTATGATTTGTACAATATTACAGGAATTTAAAATTAGTTGAGTTTTAAGAATTTTGAGAGTTTTGGAATTTGGTTGAATGCAAAGAAAGAATGTTTTGATTTGTTACAAGAGCAGGCCCGTTCCTAGGGTAGTGAGCGCCTGCGTGCAGGATTTTTTGTGCGCCCCCATATTATGTTTTTAAGATACCTATATCATAACATGTTCTTGTGATATGATTGAAAATATGATATGAATGTAAAAAGAAAAATAAAACGAACCATGTTTGAAAAAAGGTTTTATTTTCAAAATTAAATGAAGAAAAAAGGTCATTTTAAAACAATATTATTATGTAAGTTAACAGTAAGAAAGAAAACACTCAATTCGCAAATTAATAAGGCATTCTGGAATATAACATGAAACAATAACGGAAAGAAGATACTCTCAATGCAAAAAAACTTTATTAAATAATACATATATACCAAGTGAAAAATAAAACAAATATTGAAATTACAAAATGACACGTCGTGCTTTCACACATGCAAGCTCATTAATCATTTCATTGTGATCAATGGCTTCACAAATTTTATTTTCAATTGAAATGACTGCCAAATCTGATAGCCTTTCTTTGCACATTGACGTTCTTAAATAATTTTTTATGAGCTTTAGCTTTGAAAAACTCCTTTCGCCGGATGCCACCGAAATTGGAAGGGTCAGGAATATTCTCAAGGCTATAAATAGATTCGGAAACAAGGATTGTAAATTTTTCTTTGTTATATAATTTAAAACATCTATGGGCGAATCCGAAATTTTGCCAGAGTCTGTGATAGGGTTAAGAACTTTGTATGACAGAATTTCATTATGCAAATCAAGACCATCAATATCTTTGCATACGTTTCCTTCATGTTGAATTTGTAAAGCTAAATCCAAATCCATACATGATCTTTTAATCACATCAGAATCTAGATTTTGAAAATTACCCAAAAATCCAAATAAATCGTGGCACTTATCTATTCCCTCAAAGCGTCTTTGTAGGGATTGAATTGTTGTGTCCAAAATTTGAAAATAAAAACTGATCTTAAATTTTTGTTTTGGATCGAATACTGTTTCATCTGTACCTTCATACGAAAATTGAAGCTTCGTCTTTCTTTGTCTTAATAATGGAAATGTTTGTTCTACATCACTTTTTTCTGCTTCTGCTACAGCCTCATTCATGAAACTCTCGAAATGTTTGTCTGACCTTTTTTCAGTGAAATAAATAATAAGATTTTTTATTTCTTTATGGCATTCATTTAAAGTTGTATTTGGATTCTGGACCATTTTACTTACTATATTAATTTTTGTTAACACATCATGCCAAATTATAATAGAAAAAATGAATTTGAACGTTTTAGTTTTGTCTAATAGTGACCTTGCTGAGTGTTTCGTGTTCATATCTCTTGAATTATCTTCCACCAAATCATGTAAACTTTTACAAATTTCGAGGAATTGAAACCTAAGAGGGCGAATGGCTTTGACTCTGCTTTCCCATCGTGTTTCACTTACTGATTTTAAAGTTAAGTTTGGTACATTCCTTTTTAAAATGTCCCATCTGTAGGGTGAAGTAGAAAAAAAATTGAACAACTCCTGAATAATTGAAAAAAAAACCTACAGTCTCATATGAAATTTTAGCTGCATCATTGACACTTAAATTAATAGTGTGAGCTGAACAAGGCAAAAACATTGCTCTGGGATTAATTTTTA